TTTTTTTGGAATGAGAGGAATCTGAGGAATAAAACCACTATCACCTTTTCCGCACCCTGTTAAATATATATATATTTATAAGCCATTTCTGAGATTAGCGTGAACAGACAAACAGACAAACAGACAAAAAAAAAGTTAGTTACATTTTTGGGTTCGACATCGACATAACAATAGCCCCTGCTATTTTTTTTATTTTTATTTTCAATGTACAGACAGCACTTTTCTACAATTTTATTATATGTATAGATGATACCCGTACAATTTCAAGGCTAAATAAACACATGTTGTGATAAAAACAGCTACCTCACCTTACGAGCGACATTGAATTAACTAGAAATGTGTTGTAAAAAGGCTAAAAATAGGGCCTATAAATTTACAAGCGACTGACGCAAACCAGGAACTTACTAAGAATTCATAAACGAATCTAAAAATATACGTAAAAGTAATTACATACATAGATGGGTATCCACTACGTAATGTTAGGAGCGGACTGAACTAAGCTTGATCTTTGCGTTTTAGGATATTCGCCAGAAATGTTCTTAGCGGTTCAGCATGCTATATCACAGGAAATTATAAAACAGAAAGCCGGGAAGCCGATAGGTACGAAAGTTTACCTACAACGTCTACCTCAACTTGCATACAGGGAAGATCAATTGTTAGTGGCACTTGAAAGATTCATATCAATGATAATCATGCTCTGCTTCGCGTATTCCTTCGTCAACACTGTCAGGGTCGTAACATTCGAGAAAGAGTTACAGTTGAAGGTAAATATGTCGCTTATTGAATTACAAAGCATTCTATCTAGGTAGGTACTTACTTAAGCAAGCATTAAATGATCGTGATATTGTTTTGACAGGAAACTATGACAATAATGGGCCTTCCATCGTGGTTACATTGGTTGGCATGGTTCATCAAACAGTTTTCGTTCCTGCTGATATCTGTTGCCCTTATTGTTATCCTGTTCAAGGTAAGTTCATTGATGTCTGGTATTGCTCCCATTTGGGGGAGCGAAATTAATATGTCCGGGATAACGTTGACCTTAACTTTATTAATTTCTGCACCCATTTCAATTTTAAATAAATCCGTGAGATCTGCTAACCGCTTCAAACTGTATGATACTTCATTTCATGCGTCAATTTAAATTCCGAAAACGTTTTCTCGAAAAGAAATTCATTCGCTGAAATCGTTATTTATGCATGAAGTCTCCACAGACTTGAAAGCAGTTTTATACCGTTATCCCGAAGATAAACTGATAGAATATGTATTCTAGTTTATTATTATAAACACATCAGCAAGAGAATAATGAATTGTATGTTTTTAGACACCATTCAACCGGACGCAGGCTGGCGACGGTTATTCTGTACTTACATTTACACCATGGAGCGTCCTTTTTTTCTTTATGATCTTGTTCGTCATCGCCTCATTATCATTTTCTTTTATGGTCAGCGTCTTCTTTTCTCGAGGTAAGCCATTATTACACAAATTACAGTTGTGTGTCTTGTAGTCTAATGGTATAGGAGATATTTTGTGTAGTTTGATTTTTATATAGGTACTTTCTGTCTATCTAGTAGCCAATAAAATAAACAATAGCTATTAGATATTCCGTATGAATATAGATTTTATCTGTAGTGCGGACGCGTGTTATCGTATAGTAATGCTATTGATGTTTCACAGCCAATACAGCTGCATCGTTTATGGGCCTGGCCTGGTTCGCCGCGTACTCTGTTTACATGTTGACCCAAGTACTTTACGAAGACATAAGTCTGACAACGAAACTGTTATTAAGTCTAATATCAAACACTGCTATGGGATATGCGTTCCAAATTATCATCATGTGTGAAGGAACTTCTAAAGGTAAGTGTCGCGAAGTTGTTTAGCGATGTTTAATTGTCCACTCCTAAAAATTGGCTAAGATCATTATTATTATGTCCTATTGACTCCAACTTCAATAGTTTAATCGGTTTGAATAGTGGCATATGGATATAATGGTGGCATAAATAAAATAGTATTATTTTTTGATTTAGATAGATATTACTTAATTCAAAATGTCTGTAATAGAATAGTGGCATATGGATATAATGGTGGCATAAATAAAATAGTATTATTTTTTGATTTAGATAGATATTACTTAATTCAAAATGTCTGTATGAACAAAAAATTGCATACTCAAAGATACTTCCTACATACCAGTACCTCTAAGTACGTCTACGTGCCCCATAGTTAGTCTCGGATTAGCTTTTGAATCATTTGATTACGTAAATTGGCTGGCAATAAAAAGTGCTAAGTGTAATTTAAGCATTTAAAAATGCTGGTTGTAATAAAGGTTCAAATTAAGTAGTGTATTAAACAGAAATCCAATAAAATTTATGTGTTTGATAAAAAAATATATAAGTAAGTAGTACTTGCACAATATTTGGAATCGCTAGAACAAAGAACTAAATTACTCATTTGAACATTCGACCGACGCCTACATAAGTACAACTTAAAAGACACAATAGATGAGTAATGTCATCCTAAGCGGTATAAAGTACATTTATTTTTCTTTTCCTACGACACATACACTTACGTTTTATTTGGTGTGATACTTTACAAACTGCGAATTGCCTATAAAGTTACATATCATCATTTATTTGGCTCTCGACGATTCTTTTTTCTGCAATATAATAAAATCGTACTTGACAAAAATAGTATTTTTACTACATAGAACTATAGAACAGAATAAATTTTACTTTGCAATTCCATAATAATATGTACTAACTGGACCTTTTGATGGTGTATAGGCCGAAGTAATATACAGTTCTAATCTTTCCATTGGTCCCTGGTTCGTAAATCAATCTTGACAGAAACTCTATAGTACTAATATATTACGTATACATCGATTATTAATTTCGGCTGTAAATGGGTTGTTCAACATCAGCCAAATTTTAATTTTCATTTACATCAATAATTTGAATACTGAATCTTATTTCAATATCCAAAAGGTCTACAATGGGATGAGTTCTTTACTCCGATATCATACCAGGATCAACTTCAGCCGGGCCATATAGCTCTAATGCTGATACTCGACTCGATACTCTACATGTTGATAGCGATGTATGTCGAGAAGATAAGGCCAGGGCTCTATGGAGTCCCGTTGCCCTGGTACTTCCCCTTGACGAGGAGCTTTTGGAAACCGAAAAAGCATAAAGTGGCAGGTTTGTAAAACAACTAATATTTTAAGTCATCATCATCATCATTACTGAATGATCCCCGATACTATTGAAGAGGTTCTCTTTATTAAGTGTAGTATCCACTATTCGCCAGTTACGTTATGAGGCCCAATAGTCCCATATAAATAAGAACTATCTCCTTGCTATACATTGACTAGACTTGCCATACAATTTGAGACTCCGTGCTGCTGATTACTTACTGAAAACTAAATATGACGAACCCAATAACTGCCCGATTCGCACGTCAAGTTCGAGAACCCTTTGCTTGTCAGTGTCTTTATTGTGTATTTATTAGCGGATATGAAGTTTACTCTTTACTTTTAATAAATATACTGACGTCCGTCTGTCAGGTTTGGAATGAATAAAAATAACATACACACACATAACATGTCTTACATAATTCGTCAGTGTAACGAATCAATAGCGACCATCACAAAAACCATGCAATCAAGGTCATTGTCATTGCGACTGTACAATGAACATCTCGAATCAAACCGGTTTGTCGAGGTTCAAATTATCTGCCATTATTAGTCGCATTAGAATTTTAATCGCTCTTAAATTATTTATTATGTACTGAAAGCGCATAATGTGAATGATTGTACTAGGTACTATGATACGATGAATCAAATCGTGAACTTTGGAACGGCATACCTACATCGATGTTTTTCTGACTAAGTTGGTTGTTACTTCGTTATCATTTACACATTGCTATGAATTATAATATATATTTCTGCCCACATACATAACATCCTGAATCAAACCTTGAATTTCCAAAGGAATAGACAGAGGTGCACATTTCACTACATAACTCCCACTTATCAACAGTTTCATTGAATAGGGAGTGGGACTAGTAGCGTACACCCACAAGTATCCGTGCTATTACTATTTTTAAAAAATGATACAATAAATACTTGGCCCACAGTGAATCCCATAACCGCATGCTCGGCCGTCACAATTGTGGCTATATACCGATCAGGCAATCAATGATTTATATTCCACAGAGATAACTGGGAAAGATTCAAATAATCCGGAGTACAATGATGCTTTATTGAAAGTCGTTCATGACCACGACGAGGAACCGAAAGGCGTGCCAGTGGGCGTCAACATACAGGTAAGTCACGCACGAGCACGACACGGTACCAAATATTTTACGTAAACAAGCTACTGCTGAAAATTACGAATACCTACACATGTTTGACCTTAGTTGGCTTAGTTAAACAAATAAATATACTTTTCGTCTCAGTGCATAGATGTGATCGAAGACATAGGAATTGGTAAAATGAGGTCTTATTAATTTTATACTGTTTATAATGAAGAACGGCAGAACTAATGTTACCCATACTTAATGTACATTTTAAATAGGTAATTCGCCATTTGCTCTTTCATCAGATCTAGTCACTTAGTTTCAGTAATAATGTAGTCGGATAATAAATTGTCAGCTGTAATATATTTGGTTCGTTCGACTCGTGGGCGTCTGATCTTTTCCAAGTAACACATAATATCCTTATTGATCAATTTAATAACGATAAGGGGTAGTATAAACATCACTATATTGCGCTAAATAAACGGAGGGGACGACTCCATCACAATGTTGTACAAGTTTTACTTAGCTATGGACTGTAGGTACCTATCTTAAAGAAACTCGCCGGCCGTGACTTCTAGCCTGACCGTATTAGAAAATTCTTTAAGACATTTAGATTTATACTATTGAGCTGTGTGAATAGGTACTAGAGGACTTTGCAGTAAACATCAAAATCGTAAAAGTAAATAAAATTTATTAACACGCTATTTTATTACAACTCTAGTTTATGGACTTAGGCTACAAAAATATTATACGTGAACTTTTGTTTCAGAATTTAACGAAAATATACAAGGGTCGTAAAAAAGTCGTAGACAATTTGAACCTGAGGATGTATGAGAACGAGATCACCGTGTTATTGGGTCACAATGGCGCTGGGAAAACAACCACTATATCCATGCTTACAGGTACTTTCTTACCTTGACATTTGTCACTAGATGTTTGATACCACACAGTCATCCATCAAATATGAATGATTAACATAATTCACTAGAAAGCCTACTCCACTCCCATCTAGGATAGTCATGTTATACTAACCTACATTCGACATAACTTAAAATATGTATAAATGTAACTTTATAAAATATTCATATTCCACAACATCGTAGTGTTCGTTCTGTAGGCACTCGACCGAAGCAAAAAGGATTTTCCTTAGTTGTTAACTATTACGAAATGAACAAACCTTATAATTTTAAGCAAATACATCTTGCTTCGCGTTCTCATTCAAAACAGAACATTTGTAAAGGCTTATAAAAAGAATGTCTCGTGATAACGAGCACTTGGAACTCTCCACTATAATTTTCTACAATTCGGGTCACAGTCGTAGTATGTACGAATGAATACTTACATAATCAGGCAAAGATCCGAGAACCAATGGGAAAAACTCGGTTGTTCGGTGTTAATGACGTTTTTCGGTTCATCTAAGCGTACCTAAATAGCACTTGCGTGCTAAACAACTGCCCAATTACGTCCACTTAACTGTAATGTAGCTCGTCCTATTAACAACATCAATCATTGAATGAATGTATCTTCGTGTTTGCTCTAACAAACTAATAATACGTTAGTAGATGCTGTAAATGTTACATTGAATTGTAACGTGTTGTCACAATACTTTTCTATCCAGGCATGGTTCCGCCCACATCTGGGAAAGCGTACATCAACGGCTACAATATAGTGACGGAAACTGGTCTAGCGCGCAAGTCACTCGGCATCTGTCCACAACACAACGTACTGTTCCCAGACCTCACGGTCGCGGAACACATCATATTTTATTCAAGGCTAAAAGGTGTTCCGAAAAGTAAAATCAAGGACGAAGTAAATCATTTCGTCAAACTCCTTGAATTAGAACAAAAGGTTGGTAAAATGTTGTCATATTGCGTGAATGATTAATGTCTTATGAAATATAGAAATGACGTTAGTGTTTAGTTTTTGCCCCTTAGCTACCTCCGTCCCCGTCTACATATAAACACAACAATGACTTGGCAGAAATATGTATGAGATAAATATTTTATGAGGCTAAAGTAGATATTTATCTAGTTTGACGTTGTTTCAGTGAAGTTGTTATTAGATATCGAGAAGGTTTTTGTATTGGAAGTGCCACCATGGACATATCGAATAGCGACAGTTCAATACTTTGATGCATTAAATTTTCGCACCGTCTGACCTAAATCATTGTAAAAAAGTGTAAAGGAAATTGATGTTGAATGTTTTTTGTAGCGAGACGTGACGTCTGACAAGTTGTCAGGCGGTCAGAAGCGGCGTTTGTCTGTTGGGGCTGCAATGTGCGGTAACTCGCGCGTGGTACTGCTGGACGAGCCCACGTCCGGCCTTGACCCCGCCGCGCGCCGCGCATTGTGGGACCTACTGCAGAAAGAAAAGAAAGGTTTGTCCTTCAAAATATACACACACAGTGAAATAATCCAAGTTTTGGAACACGGAACATAACTTCAAAAGGATTAGGTCAAGGTTTTCAAACGATTACTTACTTACATAATAAATGATTTGTAGTAACCTCGGCAATGAACGGCTATATACTTGAGTTCAGACTGAGTCGTGCCGTCTATATTGTTATAAGCTGTTTGAACTAGGATTGTTTTACTTTCGGACATGTAGAAATATCCAATAACACAGTAAACTCGTGTACTTAGAAACAACCTTTAGCCCTAAAGAATCATCTATCTTGTCAATGGTAGTAAGTATATTGGTTGGACATCATTGCTGAGTCATAAAATATATTTGTCATATAGGTAAGAAATGACGTGGCTTCGAAATTGGTTTATGATATTAACTCATCCATTTTATGGTGGCTGGTAGGTATTGTATGCATTTCAAGAGGAAAACAACAATTCTGATCCTTACATTGTCGGAATTTATATAGATATTATGTATTGCTCCATAGGTACCTATAAAATCCTGGTCGGGGCAACTGTTTTTGCAATAATATCGTATATGTATGTCATAAGCCTATCGCGGAGAACCTAACGGGTTACCGGGGCTCCGGCTCGAAGCGCAGGAAAAGGAACGGGGTGGTTTTTAGTCAGTAAGAGTCTGACACTCCCTCCCGCCTCACCAAGGCGGGAGCAGTCATTCGATGATTTTCCCCACTTAAAAAAAGCCTATTGCTATCTTTAAGTAACAATTTTTGGTAATTGAAACAATTTATAACGCATGAAGTACTATGTATGTTTTCTGAATAATTTTCCAAAATAAATACATACATGTCAAGTCTATACCTACAACTACAACACATAATTGCTATGCAAATTAAATACATTTTCATCATTTAAAGCGATTGTCCTTGAAAATAAAAACAATTACGTAATTGTTTATTAAACTGGGAAGAAAATAACATTTAAGTATTTCTAAGTTAAAAATGAGTCATATTTAAATGAAACATGCAATGTCAATTTGATTTTGCTCCTTCTACATCATTTATGAGCGTAGTTTTATAATTTTATGTCATTCACCTTTAGACACATAAATATTCAAATTATATTCTTATTTTAGATTTGTCTCTTTTTTAGCAAAATTCTTATATCTGGTTTTGAACTGCACTATTATGTTTTTATTTAGGAAAGTTTTTATTTATAACTTGACGCCTTTATTCCCCAAATTTGGTTTAACATTATCGACCACAAAACGAGACTGTGTTCAGCGATGTTATTGGTTGGGTTCATGAGAGCCGGCCAATCAGAACGCCGATCGCGTTTAGATCTTGGTAAACGTAAATTAAACTCGGACTGAGCCCTCGAATATTATTCCTAGGGAACGAATACCTACTGGCCATAAGTCCAGACTCCGTACTATTGTTTAGAAGAACTGAAATCCTCTATAAATAGTTCACTCGATCCAACAAGCGAATACGAAACAGAGCCAGTTTAAACTACATAAAAAATATATTCACAGGTCGCACAATGATACTGACTACACATTTCATGGACGAAGCCGACGTACTCGGTGATCGAATAGCAATCATGTCTGGGGGCCAACTACAGTGTGTAGGGACCCCTTACTTCCTCAAGAAACATTACGGCATCGGCTACAAAATAACTATTGTTAAAGGAGAAAACTGCATACCTGATGATGTCACTAAGTTCTTCAAAACTTACGTGCCTGATATTAAGGAGAATACTAATATAGGTAAGAAATACATTGTGGCACATATGTTTTCTAAAAACGTCTGCAATCGATTATTTTTTGATGCTAGACATTGTAAATAACAATATTC